TCCACACCGTTCTCCTCAAACACATCTTCTTGTATTTATAGACAACAGGAAGGCTTTGTTCTACTGACACAGTTCTGACACTTACACACACACCTTTACTGGAAGCTACACACCACACTTTCTCAAGTTACTCAGGTTTAGGTGATGTTCACGTTCCTTTTTGGTTTAGCTTTAGTCTCATGAGTAGGTCACGCATGCGCTGATAGCTCTGAAGTAACTCTGGAGCAGGTTATGTTCAGAGAATAAGCTGTTGTGGCTACTTACATACCCTGAAAGTGACCTCTGATTTTGGAAGTGAATGCTGAGTTTATCTGCTTACTTACCCTTAAACATACCCGGGTTTGTCACATAACCTGCTTTATGGTGTGATATCAGCTTCATTGATTATAAAGGGAGCGTCTTCGCTCGATTTCTGTATATAACCTATACGTTTTATTTTTTATGCTTATAAGTGCACACTGCAAAATGTCGGGAGTGATGATCATATTAAAATTGACATAGTGATAACCATAGCAATGATGGGACAAAAACAAATCTTGCAAAAAGACAAAAAGTCTTGCATTGTACGTGCATGCAATAGACTTGTTCCGTTACCTGTAACGTGTTTCTTTGTTATTTTATTACTTTAATTTGATCTTTTTAATGCAATGTTTGCATAATTGAACAACATTTAAAGGATACATACTAATGTTATAATGTATTATTTACTTATAATTATTAATATCATTAATAATTAACTAATTAAATGTTTTTCTTTTTAAGTAGTTAAATTGAAAAATAAAAATGGCTATGGTACCAAAATTGGTACCGCCTTTGTTATTTTATTACTTTAATTTGATCTTTTTAATGCAATGTTTGCATAATTGAACAACATTTAAAGGATACATACTAATGTTATAATGTATTATTTACTTATAATTATTAATATCATTAATAATTAACTAATTAAATGTTTTTCTTTTTAAGTAGTTAAATTGAAAAATAAAAATGGCTATGGTACCAAAATTGGTACCGAGAACCGTGAAATTTTACTGGTTTGATTACTGAAAGTTTGTTATCATGTCAGAATTCTCAAAATAAAAATCACATATATTTTCACAAGTGAAAAAAAAAAAGATTTGTGAAAAACTACAGCACACAAGACAGGAAATGAAACAAAAGTCCAACTAGACAGAGAACATGTAACGATGTAATCGTTTAAGACAGACCTGAATCACATTAGCTATAAATGTCATGTGACTAATGACTTTTCACTCATTTTCTCTGAAAACGAAAATGTGTGCACACTTTATAATCAGATTTTCTCAACAGAATAATGTCATGTTTGCCACAGGTTTAATTAAATTAATAAATCAGAATATTTAACTTGCAACCATGCATCTATTTAAGTTGTGGTAATAGATCCCCTGAATTTCTTTTTGGAGTACCCCAAATATAGGACGACCCTCTGGTTATTGCCTTGTTGCAGGTCAGCAGACGTGATTTTGCGGGACAGGTGGAAAAGTGAGCTATTATTAGACTGTATAACATTGATTTATGTTAGATGGAAAGCCTGTTTGCTGTGACATTGGATGCTTTAAACCAGTGGTTCCCAAACTTTTTGCAGTGTGCACCCCTTTTTTTTACTGCAATACAAGTATTCACTGTATACAGGGCTTGACATTAACTCTTTTGCTCACCAGCCACTGTGGCTAGTGGTTTTCCAAAATTACTAGCCACTCAGCATTTTCACTGGCCACAATTTTGTTGCTGGAAAATTACATTTTATATGACTAAAGTTACTGCATA